AGAGCCGATTTCACGATGCTGAGTCCGCTTCGTGCCCAGCCCTGCGTGAAGCGGACTCAGCATCAGATGCAAGGAGGGAGCCGTTCGCCCCTGGTCGCATGGCTTGCTTGTTGTTTGGAAAAGCAAGCCGCGCGGCCGAGGGGAAATCGGCTCCCTCCTTGCACCTGATGCAGAATCTGCTTTGCGCAGGGCTGAGCTCAGCTCGGCGCGAAGGGGACTCTGCATCGGGTGAAGGGAGGGAGCCAATTTCTCCCCAGCCACCCGGCTTGTTACCGAAGCCAAAAAGGCAGAGAGAAAGCGCAGAAAGATCGAACTTTCCGCGCTTTCTCCCTGCCTTTTTGGTTTCAAAGGTTTCAGAAGGCTTCCTCCAATGTCGGAGGAAGCCTTTTGAAAGCTCCAAAGGCAGGGAGGAAGGGCATGGAGTTCGAATTTCCCGCCCTTTCTCCCTGCCTTTTGGGTTCGTAACCCGATCCACGTTCGCAAGTAGGGCTTACTACTTGCGATGAGATTGGGGAACTCAACTGCATAATTTGGGTTAATGAGAGATTACATTTGTGATTTCCCTGGGTTTTTTTTTACAGTCTCTTTACCCTTTGGTTCCTGGCTGTTTTCATCATTCTCTAGCATTTAAATTTGCCGTCATAGCCCCATTGGTGATGCTTTGTAAGATGTTTTTTTCCTCCATTGAAACACATTAATTATATAAGACCTACTTTTTTATCCCGAGAAAGTGTATGCTGCTGTTTTTCCAGGCGGCAGACCCTGGAAAGCCATGGAAAGCCAGCCGTATACATTTTCTCTCTCATTTTTGGGGGATAAAAAAGTAGGTCTTATGTAACGTGTTTCAATTGGGGGGAGGGAACCTTCTTGCAAAACAGGGTTTAAAAAAACCTGTCTTGCAAGACCCAAACATTGTCCAGTGAAAATTGCCCATAGGAACAAAATTGCCCATAGGAACAATCGTTTTGCGAAGCACAACATTGCTCAAAAAGGTCACTGTCTAGCGAATTCCTTGTTTTGCGAGGCAATCATCTAGTGAGGCACCACTGTAGAGGATACTGAATTGACATATTGAGTTCAGTCCACTGTGCTGAAAAGACAATGTAATTTTTTTTCACATAGAGCCATCAAGTTTTGCAATTCTTTATAATATTCTGCTGGCAGATATCTGGGCCTGGTGATTTCCTTTTTTTTTTTTTTTGCTTTTTGAGGGCTTCTGTAATTTCTGCATATGTTAAAGGTTCATTTAAGGACTGCATTTGGTCTTTAGTCAATTTCATTTTATTGTATTTCAGTACATATTCTTTCTGAGCTTCCTTGTCTACTTCATTTCTGTTGTATAAAATCCGGTAGAAGTCCTCAACAATCTTTTTTATTTCTTCTTGCTTGTATTTCTCAGTCCCTGTTTCATCTTTCAATATTCGTATTATTGATTTCTCCTTCTCTTTCTTAATTTATATGCTAACCATCTCCCCGGCTTATTTGCATTCTCAAAAAAGTTTTGCTTTTCAAATTTAAGCTTCTTTGCTTTTATTTCTTCCTCAGTGAGCAACACATTTATCTGGTGTTGTACTAACTTTATCTTCTCTTTCAGTTCTGTATTTGTTGGGTTTTGGGTAGTTCATCTGAGGCTAATCTGTTTTCCAAAATCTTATATTTTTTCTGTCCTCTTTTTTTTTTTTGATGCAAATCTTATTGCTGCTCTTCTAAAAAAAGCCTTGCTTGCCTCCCAAACCATTGTCATTGGTGTTTCTGGCCTCATATTCTGTTTGAAAAAGAAATGGATCATCACATCCATCTCCTGTCAAGGAGGCACAGTGGGGAATCAAACTCCCAACCATTGGCTCCCGATACCTAAACCACCGAGCAAGCATCCTTGGTCTTTTTTTCCTTTGTTGCGGAGAAGTAAGGAATGGCTCCGTAATCACTACCAAGATGATCGTGGTTGAGAAAGAGTTTCAGATTAAGTTTCCATAGGCTAATAGTAGACTCACTACAGTATAGGCATTGGCCCATTCTCTATTTTCCTTCCTGAAATAATAGAAAATAAAGGTGACTCTGAACCCGGCCTTATATTATGATTTTTACTTTGTGGCAGGATGCAACCAAGCACTCTTTCTTTACTTCTGGGGCCAGGGCAGGCTTCTCCAAACTGCTGCCCTTGAGATAGGATAGATTACATTGTCTATCAACTCCAGATAATGTGGCTAATGAGGTGATGCACCACCTACCATAAAGTCTAATTGTCTTTCCTCTTCCAGGGTGATTCAGGGGGGCCTTTGGCCTGTGAACTGAATGGTACTTGGTTCCTGGCTGGAGTGGTGAGCTTTGGATTTGGATGTGCAAATCCCAATCGACCGGGTATTTACACACGAACCATCTCTTACGTGGACTGGATTCAGAACACTATGGCGCAGAATGGAGTCCCCAGAGATTGTGGCAGCTGGGTCACCCTCTTGCTCTCGCTTCTTCTCTTGGGCTCCACTAACATACTCTTGTGATATGCCTTACTGTTGTGTACTGCCCTTCAAAACAGTCACCCTGGCTCACTAATCAAGCTTGATGAACCCCAGTGATAAACTTGAGGTTCCCCAAACTCAGTGATAATTTTGAGTTTACTGATCATTATCCAGGACTGATCTTCATATGATGAGCTTTTGCAGGAGATAGTCAAACAAATTATAATGCCTTCTATTTTGTCAACTTGATTGCCTACTTGTTTACTAGAGGACTGGATCTACAGTAATAAAGAAAAGGAGTTGAAGCTGTAGCCTTGCTGGCTGGAAGAGTGAGGGAATTTTACTCCAAAAAAGGGACAGGTTCTGGCTCCTTGTTATCCAAACAATGAGATAATGCGAGATAGCAACTAGGGATGTTAACATATCCCTAGTTGTAGCAGGTTCTCAAAATCTGACTAACCTGCTTGTCCTGTCCTAGTTCTCTTGTTATGAAATGTGTTTCCTCTTCCCACATAGAAATGTGTGTGTATTTTTCAAAATGTACCTATTTTTGGTACACATGATTATCAGTGTATATGTTTTTACACATTTTTCAGCTGACAAATGCCCTCGACTGCAGTTTTCCCCAGTTTCAGTTCTAGGGCTGAATGTCATGATACATTTAACATATTATTTAAAATGAAACTCCCTTAGGAGGCAAAGATTGCCTTTTTATTCTAATATAAGCTGTTTATTCTAACACAAGCTTGCTTTATTTTGCTAATTGGACTGCTATTGTTTTGATATCTCGGGAACAGAGACCTGAAAGATTCTTGTGCCTATAAGGATAATGATGAAAATAGAGATAAACATTGGACTTAACATGTCATGTGACCTTCTCCCAGCTGGCATAACCAGTGGGGATGAATTCTGGGAGATGTTGTCTAACAGGATCAAGATGTCCACACTTTGCATATTCCTGGTTTTCAAATATACAGGTTGGTGGATTGATATAGTAAAGGTAAAGGTTCCCCTTGACAATTTTTGTCCAGTCGCGTTCGGCTCTAGGGGGCAGTGCTGATCCCCGTTTCCAAGCCATAGAGCCAGCATTTGTCCGAAGACAATCTTCCGTGGTCACATGGCCAGTGCGACTTAGACACGGAACACTGTTACCTTCCCCGGTGAGGTAGTCCCTATTTATCTACTCACATTTGCATGCTTTTGAACCGCTAGGTTGGCAGGAGCTGGGACAAGCGACAGGTGCTCACTCCGTCGCGTGGATTCGATCTTACAGCTGAAGATCTACAGACTTTCCAGCACAGAGGCTTCTGTGTTTTAACCCACAGCGCCACCATGTCCCTTTGATAGAGGCACAGCTTAAACAGCTAATAGGCAACCAGTGCCTATGGTTTCTGTGACAGACTGACAGAGAAAGCAATGGGTACTTTCAAATGCTTTCAGAGCTCCAATTTTGAGACACTGGGCACCTTTTTTTCTGGGTAGGCCAAGGCTGAGCTAGTACTTGACTGGGAGCGGAGAGACCTACATTTTAGTACCCAGTAAGCCCTGAAACTCGCTAAGTGATTTTGAGCCAGTTATTTTCTCCTATTGATCACAATCTTGTCAAACAGGAGGTGTTTTACTTCCCCAGAAGTCCTTTAGAGATGTATAGATCTCCTAGGCAAAGCTTATGATTTATCATAGCTGACATTAAGGAGTTAATCGCAGGATGAAATCAGACAATCATTGACAAGCATCTCCAAATTCATCTGGGTATCTAAGTATATGTGGTTTGTTTGTTGCAATAATTCCAAGGAATTTCAAAGCATGTTTATTTTACAAGCCTTTTTATTTCTAAATAGCTTCTAGGTTCCATATTTCAAAAATAGCAAGACCAAAATGTTTTGAAAGAGGTCTTACAGTTGTGAGAAAACTAGGCATAAATACTTAACATCCCAAAGTCTTACAGTGATGTAAAACTGTAGGCACATCACTAAAAAACCCATCCTTGCAACTTGTAGTGAGATGCAAGTGTCAAAACTTGAGCTGTAAGCAAATCCTTCATTAGGAAAAAAAATGAAGAAATAGTAGAAAGACTGTTTTAAGTTATATTCACAACAATATGGGAGCTTATACCCTATACAGGCAGAGAATACATCTCTACAATACATCAAAGTTCTTAGGATGTCCACAGGATTGCTATGATGAAGGAAGAGACCCACAGACTGTGCCTTGAATATGGTGGAGGGAAGATGAGCTATACATGTAACAAATAATTAATTAATAAATTGTATCGATTGCACCATTGTGATTAAACTGCATGTCTCTGTGTAATATTTTTGTTTTGTTTTGTTAGAGCAGCCTTTTTGTTTTGGAGCAATCAAATTAATGAATTCCATTCTGCTTTTTCTCAGTATACACGGAAAAGACTGACTTTGTTTGTATCCTAAGCTGACTGTGCTCTGCTCAGTTGTTTCTGGGTAGATTGAATAAATAAATAAAATAGATGGAAGAATAAGGCAAAAACTTACATACAGTTAAGTGTTTCCATCTCCAAGTTGGAATCAACTATATGTAACAGAGAAATACAGTGGGGGTTTGAAGAAGCAGTTTCCACTGAGTATTCTGAGGATCAGAGATGAGCACAATGAAAAAATACATTTTTGCTTCCTCGTGGGCTACTTTAGCAACGTGTGTTTGTGATTCCTTCATTTCACATCCTTCTTGCATGAATTCTTTCATCAAACGTGTAAAAGAGCACCTTCTTCAGGTTCTGTCATTTTGCTTTCCCCCACATGTTTTCTAGACTCTCATGCCAGGTATATGTTTGTAGGGACTACCGTCACTTTCAAATTTATCTGTACCACTAATTGCACTTTAAAGGAGTACAGGAAGCTTACAGGGACCTAACTATTTGCCTGTTAAGTTTGCATCATGCACCATAGGTTAAAGCAAAATACAGTCTCTGGCTTAGAAACTATATATCTAACAGAGTTCCAAGAAACTATATAGCTAATAGAGCTCCTTTCAGTCCCTGCTCAGAACATGCGAGCCACTACACGATAGTGTATGTCTTTTGACTTTCTTTGTAGGAGTAAAATGTTACCCTGTTTTAAAACATCTTTCTATGTACTTTTGTGCTACACAACCACCCTGATTGCTGGGGTGATATCCACTTGTTTCTAGATGGTAAGTGCACCAGGGCTCACTGCTAAGCAGTTTCAGTGTAATAGCATCTGTTCTACTGTGGCTGTTGTTTGTTGAGCATTTCTGCCTCATTGCCTGTCATCTGACAGCAGCCTCATTTAAAAAGACAAATTTTCTTCTTTCTTTCTGAGAGCAGCTGCTTTAACCGCAAAGAGGGCAACCCCCAGCGAGGGGTATGGACCCTGGTAGTGAGAGTGTTCTGAATGGCTGTTAACAGTGCTCCTCATTACACTATTTGATCAAACATTTCCTAGGTAATTTAACAGACACTTGGTGAAAGGAGAAATTACAAAAGGGAAACAAAAGAGAACTGAAATTTCAGTTTACTCCTTTTTGTTTGAACAAAACATTTGTTGTTAGAGGCTCTTTTTTACTGCCACTGTTGCTGATGGGTTGCTGAGACATGGGGATCATTCTAAGGAGAAGGAGAGCAGGTTGAAGAACATCATGGTGTTGGCACTACCCTTCCTGAGAGAGGATAATGCACAGCCCTTCAGCCTTCTCTTCTTGGTGTGCAATGATTTTGTTGGCAAGAAGATGGTGGTCTGCTATAGAGGCTTGTAGTCTAATCTTTTACATTATTTTTGCTATTTGTCATATCATATTTTCACTGTTTCAGATAGCAAGCAATAATAAAAAATAAAAATAGATTAAAAATAATCCGGCAGCAGCAGAAAGTGGCTGTAAGGCAGCCAGCAAAAGGGTGGTCAAGCACAGGATAAAGCCTCAAATGCAATGATTCTAAAAGTTCATGTAGCCCCTTCCACCAATATATGACAAAGGTTAAAACTGGATTAAAAGTTTTCCCAAGAAGATGCATACAGAGAGCCAGAAACCATGTGGCCAACACATGAATTTAAACCAAATTGAAAAACAATGATCCATCTGCCAATCTGTTTTATTAGTGTAACCACACTCTTAGTAACAATTATGTGATATGTTAAGGAAGCAGAAAGAAAGAATGATTTTTGTTCCAAAAAGTTAACACAATGTAATTTGCTTTAAAACATAGAAGATAAAAAACGAACTTAGTGTGAAGAAATGTACTGCTATTCACCATCTCAGGTTCACATTTCTTTTCATGACCCTCTTCCAATTTGGGAATGAGTGCTTTAAATGCGATACAAAGGTGGAGAGTTTGGGGAGGTGTCGCTACCAACATTCAATGCATGCTTTAGCAGAGTATCAATAGAGGGGCATTCAGTGCTGGCATCCGGGCAACAGCAGATCTGATGTTTGTGTGAATTGATGTTCTGAATGTGCCTTCCTAGGATCCACAGTGTGATATACATGTACACAATATGTTGGATAATGACATGGCTGTGTCACTATGTGTAAAGATAGGGCTTTCCCTACAAGGTTCTGATGGATATTTTGACAGATTAAAATATAAAGAAGTTGATGAGGAGAGCAGGAAGGCAGAGTGTGGGAAGTGAAGCCATGGGACTTGTAGAAGGGCAAAGGGTTGGTTCTTTGCTGCTGGTGAGGCCACTGGCATTTGCTCAGTCCCTCAGCCACTTACTTGCAGCATCTTATCCATGGCACCTGTTTCTAGCAGGCGGATGCCTCTGCAGAAGGGGAGTCCCTTGGTGCTGGTGCTGCTGGTTGCATCGATGATGGCAGAAACTGTTGGAGGCTGCTATCTCTTGGCTAAATGAGTGAGCATGCCAAAAAGAATGCGTGCTGGGCCAGAAAGGTATGCAACAGCTCTTAAGAGGGGAAGAATGGCTTGTTCTGAGTAGAAACACTTAGGCAATACTTGTCTTTCAGCCCTGATCCAAACCACGCCCTCAGCCATCCATATACCATGTGTATATAGTAGTGCAGACAGGTTGAAAGCCAGCATTTGCAACTTGCTTCAACAATGGCAATAGGACTATCCTTTCCACAGCATCTTAGGGAATGTGGGGCAATCCCAAAGCCACATGCAACTTTGTCTTCCAAAAGAGGGGACTTGATAGGGATGTATGGAGAAAAGGCAGTGTTTCCTGCTTCCCTCTAGCATATGCTGTTTGAGGTGGTTGCCTCAGTACATCAAGTGGTGTGGCCAGACCTGAGTGAGACTGAAAATAAATGAAATGAAGCATGAGCAGTAGACAGATTTTTGTGACCATCAAATATCCTGACCACAGGCTATTTAAATAACCCTGGCATCTAGAATTGCAAGGGACTGAAAAGCCTGGTCACTGGACTGGATTCAGTCATGCTGTGACCCTAAGCAATCTCCAGTTTAAGAGGTCACATTGCATTGCTCGAGTTTGGGGGTTGTGGGAGAGGGCCTTGTTCTCGTATTTTGTGATCCCCGTCATCATCAAAGTGATGCAGCTAACACAGGGCCTGCCCACACTGGCATATAGGCTATTTGTTTATGTATGGAGATGCAGCTGCTGCAGCAGAAGCTTGCAGAGAACTGCTGTGGTTAAAGAAATTGATGAAAGACTTTGGAATTAAAGAGGAATAGCCCATTGAGCTGAAAATGACAAGCAAAGTTGCATCAAATTGGGGGAAAGTGAAAAAAATTAATATGAGGACTAAGCATATTGATATTAAATATAATTTACTGTGTGCACTAATAGAAAAATGTGTAATTAAAATGGTTTATTATCCTACTAGTGAAATGATAGCAGATATATTTACCAAACCACTCCCCAAAGACTGTTTTGAAAGTAAAATGGGAATTGCAGGGTACATTCAGTGTTGAGAAGGGGAATGTTGATATATATATGTTGTGCAATATACACATATGTGAATTAATGGTGTAATATGTTTTCTAGCAGCAGAATGTGGTATTTGCATAGAATGTGTCTGTGGCGTTTACCCTGTGGCCCCTGTTTGTTTCACCAAACACAGAGCTCAGGAAGGTATCTCAACACGCCCTTTAACGCGCTGCCACCAGTTGATCTTTTTATCAACTTATATTTCCTATGAAAGACTAAGGTACATTCAGTACTGAACTTTTAAACAGAAACTGGTTTATTGATTACAAGTTGTTTCAGGAATAATTCTTAAGCACATTCTTAAAGTTACACAAAGCTTCTGTATTTTACTTTAACCTCTTTTATTTTAATTACTACAAGTCACACTCTGACCAATCACTCCTTAAACACCCTCTCTGCCTCAAACTTCAAACTCTCTCTTCTCTGTCTCTGACTGAACTGACTAGACTCTGACTCCCCCTCCCTTCTAGTTTCTCTGGCTCCGCCTCCCAACA